TTAATTTTACACGTTGTTCTAAATTCTCCGTTTCCCTTAGCATGTCATCATCATAAGGCCTTCAACTTGAAAACTGTTTGAACACGACCCTCAACTTATTCCTTCCTATCTTGAAATCAATTTTCCCATTTCTAGAAAGACCTTGAAGAACTTATATCTCTAAATATTTGGAAACAGTAAAATAATATAGGTCTAGGTACCTTTGCCCCTCTTAACTCCTGTTTCTGCTTCTATTATACTTCTAACTACCCCTTTGATTTTGTAATCATTTAGATATCGTACGATTCTGTTTTAACTTTAAGGAAACACGTGAAAAGAAATTATAATACTTTACCCATGGAGAGTAGGTACATAAGCAATTGTTTGTAATTGTTTGCATATTAGTCCGCAGTAGTAGTCAACAATACAATGAGTTAATATCTAATAGGTGACAAAATGAACTAAAGATTATTAAGCAATCTCGAAATACGAGGGTGGATTGATAAGTTTCCGGCCTGACCAAGAAAAACAAGGTTTTTAAAAATTTTTTTTTTTTATTTCTCAACATAATCTCCTCCAAGGCTGATACATTTCTCATAGCGGTGTTCCAGTCTATTAATGCCATCTCTATAGACTGATTCGTCAAGCTCCTCAAAATAACCATTTACAGCTTCGATTACTTCTTCATTGTCCGCAAATCTCTTACCGCCAAGCCATTTTTTGAGATTAGGGAACAGAAAATAGTCACTCGGGGCTAGGTCTGGAGAGTAAGGAGGGTGCGGCATCAATTCAAACTTTAGATCGTTGATTTTAGCCGTCGCAACGATTGACGTGTGCGCTGGTGCGTTATCGTGATGAAACAAGATTTTTTTCTTCGCCAGATGAGGTCGTTTAATTTTCACCTCGTGGCTCAAACGTTGCAATAAGTCTGCGTAGTATTGACCAGTGATAGTATTACCCTTTGCAAGGTAATCAATGTATATAATACCTCTTGCATCCCAAAAAACAGTAGCCATAACCTTGTTCGCCGAAAAAATTGTTTTTGCCTTCTTTGGAGTTGGTTCCCCTGGTCCAATCCACTGTTTAGACTGTTCTTTGGTTTCAGGAGTGTAGTGGTGGACCCACGTTTCGTCAACGGTTACGAATCGACGCAAAAATTCGCTTGGATTACGCTTATACAATGACAAATTTGCGGTAGAAATGTTTTTTCGAATCAATTTTTGGTCGACTGTTAGCAAACGCGGCACCCATCTTGCACAGAGCTTTTCCATATGCAAATGTTGGTGCAAAATATGTTGCACACGTTCATATGACATCTTACAGGTCTCAGCTATCTCACGCACTTTCAATCTGCGGTCTCCCAGCACTATTTGATGAATTTTTTCGATCATATCTGGAGTTGTGACCTCAACGGGGCGTCCTGAGCGAGGCCCATCAGAGGTGCTCACACGACCCTTTTTAAACTCGGAAACCCACTGCTTAACGGTTGAATATGACGGGGAGGATGTCCCCAGTGTTGAGTCCATCTCTTTTTTAATTTCCTTCGGCGTTAACCCCTTCAAATAAAAGTATTTGATGACAGCACGATTTTCCTGCTTTTCCATTTTTACGAAAACCACAGAGGCGTCTTGTTCAGCGTGCTGTCAAACCTACACTAGCAAGGAGATCGGGCTGAAACTATAGCTACAAGCTATCCAAGGATGGTACTATAGAATGTCACCTCAAGGTAGGCCTAGTGGCGTCATCTCTTGGTTAGGCCGGAAACTTATCAATCCACCCTCGTATATGGAAACCTCAGACAGGGTATCCCATTTTAGACCCTTCGTGGGGTCTCTTTTATTTCTAAAAATGAAGACCCGAGATAAAAATGTTCAGTCTCTAAAAGCGAGACTCGAGTCTCCATCTCTCATCGAGTCTCTGTGGTGTCGCTGAGAGAGACTGTTAAAAAAACTGTTTAGCGTCTCTGAACGAGAGACTCGAATCTCTGAACGAGATTTTCTAAGTTGAACATATTTCAGAGATACCAGTCTTTCTACGAGAGACTGGAGTCTCTCAATTTTTCAGTTTTATTTATTCAGTCTCTCTGCGAGAGACTCGAATCTCTGAATTAATAATTTTATCGTTCGAGTCTCTCATACATAGAGTGTGAGAGATCCATAAAAACACGTAGGCAATAACTGAGAGTGTGTGAAAGACTGTGAGAGACGCTCTCAGAGACACTGAAAGACTCTGCGAGTCTGGAGAGAGACTGAAAATTTTTGTCTAGGGGGGTTGCGGTTTTCGTGGCAGAATTTTTGCATTGAAGCGCGCTCACGGCTCAAGCGATTCCCACTACAAACTCGACTAGAGTAGAGGGAGGACATCCGTTGCATGATTTTGTTTTGATAGCAACTCGCATGAAACGAACTAACCCTCCCGTGCGTAAAGAAGTTTCATTTCAAAAACATATGTTTGTGGCATAACTAAAAAAACTGAAAAAAGTACTATAAAATCTGGCTATGCCACTGGATTCTATAGAAAAAAGAACTTATTAACTTCTTCGAAAGGGTTAAAGATAATTGAGATCTCAAAAAACAAAAGGCATATGAAAACTTTGCTGACGCCATCATTAATTTCACAAAAATGTAGTAACCGCAACCCTCTTTATTAATCTTTAATAATAATAAGGGAGGAAGGGCAAAAGTTCCGAAAGTGGGATACCCTGTACATCATCGGTATGTGCAACAATAATATATTATACAACTAGTAGGATAAATGGAATTGTTGGTGATGTTAACAAGGATTATTTTATTAAATGTTTTCTGCAAGCCTCGTTCTAAGTAAATTTCTATTTGACATAAAAAAAACCTTCAAATCTGTTTCACACATTAGTATTTGTTAACTACAAATGCTTCTACTTTGTGAACATTATTAATACCTAACTTATAAAAGCAATTGTGAATAATAAGTTTACTATTAAATGAGTGAAATTGGTGTAAATCACAAAGTTTCAATCTATTTCAACAAGTCATTCATAAGTATAATACGTATATTTTACCACAAAAATCTAATCCTAAAAACTTTGTTATCAGGTACTGGATATATTGTTTATTAGTTCTAAAATTGAAATCAGTTATTAAGTTATCTTTAACAAATTGTTTTCAAGATGAAACATTTCTATAAAATAAAATTTAACTAAATAAGAGATCTTAAATTTAATTTGTTGAACCCTATTTATTTTTATTTAAATTTTATTTTATAACTTATCTATTCTGTTCCCTGTAAATGAATACATTAGTTGAGATAGTTTCAATATGTATGATATCAATTTAACCTTCTATGCGTATTATCTTTATAATGATTGGTGTAAAGTTAATGGAGTGTCCGATATTCCCTTAAGGTTAATACATTATGGGCGGTCAACTGCAAATTTAGACCGCGCTTAGCATACAATCCATCATCTGTTTACTCATTTTCTCAACACTTTCGTTCATTTTTTCCCTCCAGTCGATCTAACATTGTTTGCACATGTATGTATATAATATCAAGAGTTTTAAAAAACAAATATGTTTCTTCGCATATAACACTCTGACTTTATGATGCTTTTACAGTTTACGCCATCATTCTTTTGGTTTAGGTTGTCAATAAACCGAAAAACTTTTTAGAAAACAGCAGAACGGCAGCATTTATATATACATATGATAAATTTTGACAAGTAGATAGCTTGTCAAACATTTGAAATGAATAAATACGTATCGAAATACTACCCGTGGCTTGATAAAATAAAATTTCCTTCATATTTTTTCAGGTGAACATTTGTCCTAACTCTGTAATTTTCATATAACAATAAATTAATGTAACATGGGCGCACAATGTCCTAGACAAAAATTTTCAGTCTCTCTTCAGTCTTTCGGAGTCTTTCAGCGTCTCTGAGAGCGTCTCTCACAGTCTCTTAGTTATTGCCTAGGTGTTTTTATGGATCTCTCACAGTCTCTGTATGAGAGACTCGAACGATAAAATTGTTAATTCAGAGATTCGAGTCTCTCACAGAGAGACAGAATGAATAAAACTGAAAAATTGGGAGACTCGAGTCTGTCGTAGAAAGACTGGGATGTCTGAAATATGTTGAACTTAGAAAATTTTAACCATGTATATAGAGACACCACTTATTGAGAGATTCGAGTCTCTCGTTCAAAGATTCGAGTCTCTCGTTCAAAGACTGGATACGAAATGAGGATCTCTCTATGAGCGACTCGAGTCTCTCGTTGAGAGACGCTAAACAGTTTTTTGACAGTCTCTCTCAGCGACACCAGAGAGACTCGATGAGAGACGGAGACTCGAGTCTCGCTTTCAGAGACTCTGAGAGACTGAACATTTTTATCTCGGGTATTTTAACTAGATAAAATCTTTAACATTGTCTACTAGCTGCTGTTATTACTTATTTCAGGTATTTTTAAACGGAATCCTTTCTAATAACTCTTCTATCCAATGATGGTTAAAACAAAAATTCATAAATCTTCATGAATGATATATCCAATAATTGTTCATGCATTTAGTATAAAATTTTGACTGATTTATAATCAGGTCTGTGAAATTACGTTGTAACTATTTTATTATATTTCTTCAAAGATTTGCAAATATTGTTAAAAATAGAACGTTGAGAAATAAATCGATGAACACCTTCGTAATAAGATACTAATTCTCTGCTGAAAGCACCGAACAGAGTGTCATTGCGCACTTATTAAATATTTATCAAAATATGTAATTGATGGTGGCCGGGAAAGTGAAAAAATCGACAAACATGTACATGTACAGCCAATATTATCTTAATTAAAGGCATTAAAGGTGTTTTACTAAATTTTAATTTCTATTTATTCTTTCGCATATTTAATTAAGTAATTGTCACTTTTTGGAATCAATAGTCGAGTTTTAAATATTTACTCTACAAGAAAAAAGTGACTATCCCTCAACTTCCAAGCAGTTTTTCATGGAAATTATTGCTTATTACCTACCCTTATTTACTTTTATTCAGTGGAACTTACCAATGACAGTTAAATTAACGTGGGTGAATGTGGTTTGCGAACGATAGAAGTCTACCCTGCAATTGTACAGTCCCTCGTCCGCAACTTTGGTAGAAGAAATAACTAAAAGAGCCTTTTTATCCTCGACAAGTCGCAACGAAAGTCTGTTTTCTCCCTCAGGCTTCGGCACAACCTGTGTCTGCACCCCACGGAAATCGACCTTGTATAAGGGCTGTTCGTCGTCCCCCTTCGTCCATTCCACGAGGCTTACTTTGTCCGGCGGATGAGTAACCTGTAGGTTGCACGGAAGTTCGGAAGTGTTTCCTTCACGCGTTAACACTAACTCCACTTCAACATCCTCATCAAGAGGCGACGCCGAGAAAACGGACAGCACCGCGAACGAAACTAGTAACACAACAAAAGTACACTTGTATCTCTTCATAGCTGTTTGTAGTTTTTAATTGTTTTAATTTATCGAAAAAGCCCCTCAATCGGTTTCAATTTCGGCTCCAGCAAGTTTAGTTCAGTGGACGCAAGTCACTCATGATTTCACACTAACTGTAGAAACGTTAGATATATTTTGGACACTTTGCAAATAGTTTGTGGTCGGAATCGGGTTACATTACGTACATTTACGGACAATAACTTATTATTATTATTATTAACAGGAATATTATAATGTGCAATTGAACATTTAATTATTATTATTATTATTAATTTGTGGCTGTGTCTTGACAATTACGAAGTGGCATACAATTTTTCACAAACTTTAGTAGGTACATAGGTAGACAACATCTAAATTTATTTAAAATTGATCAAGTTACAGTTGGATTGTCTTTAAACACGCATGTATTTGTTCAGGCTACATATAAAACGTTTAAAAATACATCGAAAAGTAGAAATTTACAAGAGAATTACTAAGGGTTGATGTTTGACCAGTTGGTAATGTTACAATTGTGCGGGGTGAGCACGCCGCGAACGCGCGAGTTACGCTGGGGGTACGTAATTTGAAGAAAACGCGACATCCACCCTCATTCCGCGGTACACTGCCAAGTGACTCCGCCCGGAATAGCAACCCTGCTGCAAGTCGGCTCGAGACGGAGAGCGCCGAAGCGTGTGCGTAAGCACCGGAGCCCCGGAAACCGAGTCCGTGAAAATTTTGCTGGAGCGTGGACAACAAAAATCCCTCCGTAGCGACGGCTGATAGCTCCCAATACCAACAAGTAGTCAACAACCCCCTTTCTCTGCACGAATCTAACATCTACTACAGTGATGGAACAACGTCGGTTGTAACGACAACTCTGCCGTAACGTCAAACCAAGGCTAAAAATTTCGGAAATAACGACAACTAAATCGACATGATATTTTTATTGCCACAAATCCTTGAAGCAGCCGGACTTCGTCCTCTGGCATCTCGGTTGATTGAATTTGGGCTTCTGAATTCCACTGTGTGCACCATTCTGAAAAATAATGATAAAATTAGAAAAACTTACTAAGATGGTAAAGGTAATTTAAAGAAAATTCGTTTATGTGAGAGAGTGGACATCAATACAGCAGTAATAAAGTGGCTTTCGCCAGTGTCGCCATGCAAATACACCAATAAATGGACCAAAAGGCAGAAGAATATGGAAATTTGTTTGATGATCGAGACTTCAAGTGTTTAACAGGCTGGCTGGACTGATTCAAACATCGACATGTCATCACATTTGGTAAAGTTGAGTAAATTTGAATGAAGCCGCTGTTTGGCCTAAACTAAAAGAGAATATACCGACGACCAGATATACAATGCAGATGAGCCAGGAACTTTTTTCTAGGTGCTGCTAGATGACATTTTGAAATTTCGGAAAGAAAAATGCACCAACGGAAAACTCGCAAATAATAGAATAACTGCGATGGTATACTCAAATATGAGTGGAACCGACAAAGTGAAGCTGCTACTGATTGGGAAATCAAAAAACCTCCGGTACTTCAAGAGCATTAAAATATTACCTGTACATTACTAAACCAGTAGTAAATCTTGGATGACATCCGCTATTTTTTGAAGATTATTTGCGGAAGTGGAATAAAGAACTTTTGATGATGAAAAGGAAGAAGATTTTGTTGATAGTCAACAACTGTCCAGCGCACCCAAATATTCCCAACTTGAATAACATAAAGCTGATATTTCTTCCGCCTAATTCGACCACTATTTTACAGCTGATGAATCGAGGTATCATATGTAGCTTGAAATATCACTATAGAAAATTTCTTCTAAAAGACGTTTTTCTCCTTGTTGAATGGAATAAAAGATGCAATGTGTCTTTAGTTGACGCAAGACAAAGCTTGGCGCGAAGTCACTGCAGAAACAATAAGAAACTGCGTTAGTTACTGTAAACTCCTTGACAAAATTCCAAGTGGCATTACAGAAAATAATGGCGATGATGATGATGATATTCCACTATCAGAATTAATGAAAAACTCCAGTCTACTAATAAAGAGCAACCTGACGAAAATTTTGAAACAGTTGACGAAAATTTAATAGCTTCTGAATTTTTATTGAAGAGGTTCAAAATCAATACAAAAAAACTAATGATGATTAAGAGAAAGATACGGATGATGAAGAAGATGAAGAAGACTAAAGAAGAAGTACCCACGCTTTTAGAAGCTTTTAAAGTAATAAAAGTGCTAAAATCCTATTATAGAAACTACGATACACCTGCCAATTTGACAGAAAAATTGTGTGCTGTGGAACGTGACTTAGAAACTCAGCTTTGGTGTGGAAAACGTGTATAATATTTAGACTTATATCTATTAGTTTAGCTCATATTAATAAATACCTATGTATTGACACTTGGTTATTACTTCAAAAGTCTAGAAATTGGTTATTGCGTTGTCCTAAAGGTGACTTATCAACAAATTCTAATGTATTTTTAACTAATATTACATTGGAGAACGATGAATAAATAAATACACGGGATTATATTCCCGACTAGAATTTTAAGGGGGTGCACTACCCGCTCCCGAAATAGCCACACTATCTCTTCAGACCCATATGAAAAACCCATAAGGAAATCCTCGTTTTACTATCACCACTTTTCTTGGTGGGATTTTCATGAGGAATTTACAGGGAAATCCCTATACATGGGGCATAGCCCCTACAAATTCTAATCCGGTAATATTTACCAATGCAGGCACTAATAAAATGAATCGAAAATGTAATTATTTAGTTTCCGTTTATTAACTGATGCTTTTCTAAAGGTCTTCGTGTGTTGGAGTTACTTCCTAACGTTTCGCTAGCACTAGTGTCGAACTTCTTCAGAGGTCTGATGTGGATCCATCATCGCAAATAGAACGACCTTTGCTCACTCGTGCTAACGAAACTCCAACACACGCCAGCCTTTAAACCTAAATCAGAACAGAATCTACTAGCTGCGAAAGCCTTTGTCAGTTTTCCGTTTATTATTTTCTCCTTTCCATTACGTAACCTGAACTGAAACGTGCCATGGGAGTAGGTCATTGATCCAAGAGCTTATGTTTCGTTTTTACTACACCTCTGCGCGGTTACAAACTGCATCCTCTCTTTCAACTTAAGCCAAGAATAGGACACGTAATGAAAAGGATAAAATAATACTACCGTAATTATGTACGAATTATTTCATTAATTAAATGTTTCGCCGAGAGACGACGGAAATATGTTATTACTTAGTATGTCAGTAATCAGAATCAGACTGCAACTGAGCTTCTAGGGAGGGAAAATTATTAGCTATCTCGATTGGACTACGGTAATGGTCCCCAGTGGTCAATTTATTTACCTGTCAATAACGCGAGTGGTTGGATATTTCTCATTCACCGACTCAACGTCACGATAGAGTTAATAAACTAATTTCGAACAACTTTTCCTATTGAAACTTTATGAATAGTTATGCAGTTTGTTATCAGAAGTGATAACGCATTCACTGTCAATCCGAACTTCATCGCTACAATATTATCAAAGATTCCCTCCTCATCTGTACTCCGTAGCCTTCTCCCTAAACAAATCGAAACAATTTGTTTGAAATTGCGCCCTGCGGAATTTCCTTTGTTGTTACTTCCCAACGGAATTCCCTTTATCGTCATCCACACAATATGTGACAGGGATCAATTGAGGACAAAAAAACACCGCGCACCGAACACGTCAACACCAAAGCGCTTGTGAAACAATAGAGAAACTTAGATGTCATTAAATTTTATCAGGTTCAGGGACTGTTAAATGCCTTGATAAAAACGAAAAACATATCTCCAAGCCAACTTTAATATTCCTTTGTGCTATTCGTAGATGAAGAGAGAGACAAAAACCATTTAGATGCAAATACCCTTGCAAGACAACTAACGGTGGCTGATTTTCCCCGTTCTGAGCCAAGTGATGAACTGACTGCATTGGACTTGAACGGATAGTTAACGTTTTAATGAACAATGCTTGCATCTCGGCAATGTGAGGTATTAAAAGTGGATATCGGAACTATGAAACCAAAGCTCGGTTAGTGAATGATCCGGTGGTTGGCTAAAATCAGATTTCCAGAACTGAAAGTTTATTTACGTTGCGGATAAATTGGAATAACCGGATTCATATTTTTTACATACTTTATCGATTTGAAATCAGCAGAACAAGGTACGTTTTGAATGGGTAGAAACTGAAAAAAAAAATCACAAATTATCCACATTTTCGTTTTCCCTGTATTCTGTTTGAGTGCGTTATTTTGTGCGAAATTTTATGCTAAGCCCATGATGAACAAACCCTAAAACAAACTAGATACTAAAGTAAAGGAAGAATTTAAAAACCATCAGTTACAAAAAAATTTTACAAAAAACTTTTTAAAACAGAAATATATGAACGATTTCCAATTTTAATTTTCCAAATACGTATCAAAATTTACATTAATTTAATTACCAATGTTTATTTGTATATTCAAGTAATCTGTCTTTTGCATTCTCATGCCAGTATCCTTTAAAAAAGTGTTTAAGTTATCTAAATTATCAGAATACTGAAATTAGTCTAATTGTAGTGACTGTCTTTCATTTCAGTTGATTCATTGCAATATAATTTTTTACTTAGGTACCTGATTCAATTAATTAATTAATCAAGTAAAATATTTTGTTTTATTTATGAATTTTTACGAATAACTGTACGTTAAAAACATAATAAGTGGTTAATTTTATTGTTTTTTGAAAGCTTTCCTCAATCGAAAGCTTCAGTTCATCGTCGTCATGTATTACAATATTTTTTTCAGTTAATATTTTTTTTAATCAATATTGTCAAAATACCAAGGGAACTAAAGCTAAAATGTTGCTAAGTCGTCCAGTAATTAAAAAAAATGTTTTTTACTCTACTCGAGAAGCTGAAAAAGGTTCCTTTTCAAGAAAATCATAATTTCTACCTTTGCACTATCAGTCTATCTCCATTTGCTAGGTTTCACCTTCCTAGATATGTGGAGGTATAAATGAGAAGATGGAAGTGGGAGGCTTATGTCATATACAAGGTGTCCATTTCAAGTATGCCCCAGGATTGCTATATAGGAAACGATAAGAACTACAAACCAATTAAATTAGAGAAATTTTAACAACTGAGTAGTGTTGCTAATTTTTAGTTAGTTTCTAATGTATGGAAGGTTTTCTAAAAATTACCGACAATTTGAAAAACGAATTAAAAATGGCCCCTACGAACTGCCTATTTTGTCTAATTAAATCAGTATTATAGCTCTCCTCGTTTCCGAGGAACCTAAGTTAGCACAGCAGAAATGGACAGCCTATAGATCAGCGTGGTCTACACTACACGCCTACTGATCTAGACTATTTTAGATCATAACTTTGCGTTCGCAAAGGTAGGTACTGGTTCAATCCTAGGACTTTGCGTCAAAAAAGCATTTACGGATGTCATACAAACAAGACTGCAAATAAATCATAAAAAAAACGTAGGAA